TCTCTGTCGCTCTGTGTGCCTGGCCTTTACCTCTACACTTGCTATCTTCGGAGCGGGTGTCCCCCTTCCTTTCACATAATGGTATGATCCTAGTCTATCCTCCCATGTGATTGGATTAGCCGCATGTCTATTTTTTTATTTTTTTTTGTAACGAAAAAATGCATAAAAATAAGGCTTTTATGAAAACACTTCATAAAAAATTGCTTACCAGCACACAAACCATTCACAATTCACAATCCACAAAAAGGCTCCAGCTGAAGATTCGGCTCTCCCCGACGCTCTTCTCGTTCGCTTGTTCACTACAAAGAATTGGCTCTTAAGTCCGGCGCAGGCTCGTTCGCGAACGAAACATCCCTATCACAAATCAATCATTTTGCCTCGGAAGACTTGGAATATTAATACTTTTTAAATAAATTATGACTCTACAGTCAGTATCTGCCTGTTATATCTTGTGTTTTATTGACAAATGGTAGGTTTAGGGTCAGGGGTTGGGTTACGTGCTCATAAATGTGTAAATAGTGTAATATAAATAAAACTGTTGTGACTGTTTATATTGAAAAATCACACCCCAACTTATATGCAATATATAGGGCTAAGGGTTCCTTATTTAAAGCAGGAGGACCCTGCATGGAGGACCCTGCACGTTGAAAAATAACGCTAAAGGGGTACCCTGTGCTTCAAATATGACGCCAAGTTGTCCTGACCAAGCGTCAATATGTAACCAGTTGAGAGTGAGAACGTGTTGAAAATATCAATGCTAGTACAAAGATACAGTGTTTTATTTAGCACTAGATATTTTGCAACATTCCTCTTCTCGTGTAGTACCATGAATGCTTTTACATCAGCATTTTATATTAATGTTGGTCATCTTTAATGACAAATATACACACCTGCTATGGAATGTTTTTTGTCTGTTCAGTTGCTTTGACACAATCTGTATTGTTAAAAGCGCTATATAAATAAAGGTGACTTGACTTGACTTGACATAGATGGAATGGTGCATCCCAAAACCAATATGCTTGAGAGTCACCAATACGATCTAAGGCATAAAGCTGGATTGGCTAGCAGTAAATCTCTAGCTGAGGGGGGCAAACACCCAGCTCTCAAACGAGAGGGGAGCTCGACCTACTGCATGTTCCAATGCTGGAACAGCTAGCAATCATTTACTTAGCTGAGGGAGCAACACACCCAGCTCTCAAACGAGAGGGGGGGGGCTCGGACCTACAGCATGTTCCAATGCTGGAACAGTAAGTTACCTAGCTGAGGGAGCATAGACCCAGCTCTCAACGAGAGAGGGGGCTCGCACCTCGCACTCGTTAGAAATCAGAGGGTAAGCGTACTGCAAGCTAGCCAAAAACCTAAATCTCTAGCTGAGGGGGCAAACACCCAGCTCTCAAACGAGAGGGGAGCTCGACCTACTGCATGTTCCAATGCTGGAACAGCTAGCAATCATTTACTTAGCTGAGGGAGCAACACACCCAGCTCTCAAACGAGAGGGGGGGGGCTCGGACCTACAGCATGTTCCAATGCTGGAACAGTAAGTTACCTAGCTGAGGGAGCATAGACCCAGCTCTCAACGAGAGAGGGGGCTCGCACAGCATGGTCGTTAGAAATCAGAGGGTAAGCTTACTGCAAGCTGGCCAAAAAACTCAGCGCATCAGAGAGGCGGAGTGAAGGGCCTATGCCATTGCCGCCATAGACCTGCCCATAGCGGAGGCGGCCTGCTTAGTAGCACGGAGAGCCTCATCAGGAGAAAGGCCGTCGCCTTTATCCAGGTCTTTCAGCAGGTCAGCCTGATATGCCTGGAGCACCGTCATAGTGTGCAACGAAGCCACAGCCTGACCTGCTGCTGCATATGCCCTGCCATTTAAGCGTGATGTATCCTGAAGGGGCTTTAGATGGCAAGGAGGTAGTATTAAGGGAGGACGTCTCACCCATAGAGCCGTTTTCACGCATCGCCTCGATGTTGGCTGAAACCGATAGATGCGTGTACTGAAACCGATAGATGCGTGAGGAAAACGGCCTCTTCCATTCCTTCTTGATCTCAGTATGCAAATCAGGAAGAAATGGAAGGCTCACCTGAGCTGGAGGGTTATGGCCAGAAAGAAAATGCTCATCGAGGCGACCTCACAACGTCACTTTCTTGGCCCGCGTCCACGGCAAGTCCAGCCTCGCCATGGCGCGATCCATAACTTCCAACAGCTCATCATACGCAGGGCAGGAGGATTGGGAAGGCTCAGCCTCAGCTTCTTCGCCGTCCTCAGACATCTCATGCTCCTCCTGGGCTGAACCCAGCAGAGCACTAGCCCCCGGATCAGACGATGTTAGAGAAATAACATAATCCTCCAGCGGCTCTCTCTCGTCCACAGCCGACGAGCGCGAGAGGGAAAGCCCCTCCCTAAACTCATCAGCCAGGTCCACCTTTTTCTCGAAAAAAGAGACAAACGAGAGCGGAGCTTTTTCATCGAAAAACGCTCACAATGTACGCAAATTGCCCCCTCAAGGACATGGCGTGTGTGCTCCTCGCCCAAACAAAAAACGCAGAGATCGTGCGTGTCATCAGGTGTCAAATAGCGACGACACGGATGCACACATCCTCTAAACGTTCTACTAGTGCTCGCCATAACAATAGGATAGAGATCGCTCTTACCGCGTTCAAATGCACGCTTCAAACAAAACAGTCAGTGAAGACGAAGAAGAGAATGACATGTTCTCCCGGCGCCTATTTATACTACCCCTCAAGGACATGGCGTGTGTGCTCCTCGCCCAAACAAAAAACGCAGAGATCGTGTGTGTCATCAGGTGTCAAATAGCGACGACACGGATGCACACATCCTCTAAACGTTCTGCTAGTGCTCGCCATAACAATAGGATGGAGATCGCTCTTACCACGTTCAAATGCACGCTTCAAACAAAACAGTCAGTGAAGATGAAGAAGAGAACGACATGTTCAACCGGCGCCTATTTATACTAATAGTCGCACCGGTAGTGACGTCATGGGCTGTTGCCGGCCAACGTGTTGTTGGTGTTTTTTCAATGTATGCTTCATGACGAGGCGTTCCCCATAGCGACCCCTAGAGGACGCAGTTCGAAGTTCCCTTGAAAGGAAACTACCATTTAAAATGCTACCGCTCAAATAAATATGCATGTGAATATGGCAAAAAAAAAACTCCTTACGAATGTATGTAATGTAATGTATCCTCTACGGGATCCTGTATAAGAGGAGATGCCATTTTTGTCACACACTTTTTTGATAGACACTTCTGCATGACGAAAATATGCACAACGAATGAATACATGCAGTGCAAAAAAATGCTTTTCTTACTTAGAATTGTTGTCTTCTTGTTTCCAGTCAGAATATCTAAATATTCTTAAATCAATATGCATTTTCTACATAAAAAAGACAAGGTATTTAGTCTGGTTTCAATGCGGGAAAAATAATTTAAGTGCATTTTTCTTATTTTGCTAATTATCTGCCAGTTGGGTAAGCAATTAAAAATATGCTTGTTTCCGTTTGCATTAAGATTTTTTTTTTTTTACACTATGGTGGACAATTTTACATGTTTTACATAAAATACACTTAAAATGCACTTAAATGCACTTGTTCCCCCAGGAAAAAAGGCTAAATACCTTATATAATTTTGCATCTATAGAAATGGCATCTTAACGTAATAATTTGTACTTGAAATAAGACAAATACTCAGTAAGAAAAGCATTTTTGCAGAGTGAATGAATGAATGAGGTATTTAAACATCGCTTACGCTTTAAAAAGGGGGAGGAGACAGTAAGAAACTCTGGGTTTACCGAAGAAAACCTACTCCCGACCAGGTTAGGTTCATAGAGTAAGTTACCACGGTGACTGACTCTGAGAATAAGTTACCTCTCTTTCAGAAACGGGCTTGACTTACCCTGCTTTCTCGGGTTTGACAAACCTCCCATTCTGAAACGGAAAACCCAGAGTTTCCCTCATTTCAGGGTAAACATACTCAGAGTTTTCACTTAACCTCCTTTCTGAAATGGGTCCCAGATCTTATTCATTAATATTAATTTAGAATATAGACAAACCTTATATTATTGTAATTGTCTAGATTGGCAGTACGTTTAATCTTCCTTATATTAAACCATTTCTTTTTATTTTCTATAAAAATAAAAATGTCACAGCGTGGTTATTATTTAGTAGAATAAAATAACTCGACATGATGTTTCTTTCTGTCATTCACTCTGATAGCAGTTTAAATGAGTGCATTGACTGAGTGCTGTCTGTCACTGCACTGTAATACATATATTTTCATGATTTTTCACAAGACCTTTGTCAAATCAGCTTTAGGTTGACAAATGTTGTCTAGATAACACAATATTTTGAGTTTCTGTTGAATAATCTAATCTCTTTCTTTGACCACCCACAGGGCAACCTCAATGACTTGCAGCACATGGGCATTATTCCACGCATTGCAAAGGACATCTTTAATCATGTGAATGACAACCTGGAATTCCATATCAAGGTACACACACATATACACACAAGGGTACAAATGAATGAAATATTGACCATCCAAATATAAATCTGACCACATATATGTCTTTCAGGTGTCATACTTTGAGATCTACATGGAGAAAATCAATGATCTTCTAGATGGTTTGTGGAAACAAAAATATTGCATCATTCAAAATTCATTACCATGATTTTTATATTTTAGTCAAGACTGAAATTTAAAAATATATAAATACTGTAAGCTCTTGGGACAGTTTTAGGATGTTAATGAATATGAAAATGTCATTGTATTTGGTCTTGGCAGAATAAATGCGCCCAGGGGCGCTGCTAGCAATTTTGGGCCCCATGAAAGAATATGAGGTTGGGCCCCCTACCGCACCAAACACACACTTTTGCCCAAAGTATTGGGACACCCCCTTCTAATGAACAGGTTTGACTTTATTGGAGTCTCTACTAACGAGCTGATGAGTGGAATCAGGTGTATTAGATAAGGGAGACATACAAAAGGTGCAGAGCAGGGGGGCCTCCAGGACAGGTCTGGGAACCACTGTTCTAGGGAATTGTGTGCTTCAAATTTTATACCAATAGTTTGAACAGGACCCTTTTCTATTCTAACACAACAATGCCTCTGTGTATAAGGCAAGGTTTAAAAAAAAAAATTGATTCAGTCAGTGTGGAAGAACTTGACTGGTCTGCATAAAGCAAAGTCCTAATCACAGCTGTTCAACCTATTGGTATACAATTAGAAGCACACAATTCCCTAAAATATCCTTATATGCTTAAACATTAAAGGGGTCATATTATGTGATTTCAATTTTTCCTTTCTCTTTGGAGTGTTAGAAGCTCTTGGTGCATAAAGAAGATCTGTAAAGTTGCAAAGACTAAAGTCTAAAATCCAAAGAGATATTCTTTATAAAAGTTAAGTCAACCTTGCCTACCTAAAACGGCTCGTTCTAACACGCCCCCACATGTCTACGTCACGATGTGGGAAGGTTTGCATAACGCCACCCAAATGTTCACGCAAAGAAAGAAGGCGTAACTTGTGAAAATCGTTTGTTGTGAAAGTGAAACTACTTCGTTTAGCCTTCCAAAAGAGGACGATATCCGCTTCGTCATGCCTGGAGCTGATCTGTGCTGGT